AAAAAGATCGTTTACAGACCCCCGAAACGCCGGCTTCGTATGGATGAGAGGCTGGTTTGGAGAAAAATTTGTGAATCTAGGCCAGGGTTTGACTTCGTGTGGACGGGGCCTAAAACCAGACTTTGTTGGGCTGCTGGATAAAACCTGGAACTAAACGCTATTTCTGACATTTGGAATTAAAAAAAGCTTCCTGGATGGAAGAGAAACGTCTTCAAACTTGGATACAAAGTCCAGCGGATTGATTTTAACTTTTTTTGGAATGACTCTGACCTGGATGACTGAGAATCTCCACCAGACTCACTGTAACTCATGTTTTTCACCTTGTTTTGCTCATAGTACTTAATAATTAAATATAAACTCAATCTTTGTCATCGTTCTTTTTGTTTTTTAGCAATTCTAAATTTTTTTTTGTAATTTAGAATTTTGTAAAGGTCCTTTTTTCTCGCCCAGGTCTTTCTCTCATCGGGTCAGTCTTTCGGGTGTGCCAGCATCACAGTGAGTTTAAACCTGAAAGCTCTGATAAAGATGCAGCAAACGATGAACAGCTGCAGACGCTCGCAGAAATCACCTCTGAGTTTCTGGCCGACTTCTGCATTAATATTCAGAAGGTAATGTTGACATAGCGTTCATTCTCCGCCACTCAGTGAACTAGCTTCACTCTTTCTTTGATATTAACACAGATGGATAACTGGATAATAACGTTAGGTTTTTGTATTCTGTTCATTGTAGGAAACTGTTGCAGATTTGATAAAGAAAGGTTACCTCACGCCAAAAACTTGCCGAGCTGCTGCATCCTGTTTACTTCCCAGTTTTAAGACTTCTGTAAGTACTCCCTGCAGACAGATTTATATTTGAACTCTAAATTACTCTGAAATGCTCAGATTTTATGTGTTTGATCTGTTATCTGTTAAAGGCTACTGTCACAAACAGACTGATAGGATTCAAAAACATAATGGCTAAAAATTTCAATATCTCTTCACTCCTTTGAAAAAAACCAACAAAAAAACTTGTATTTTATATGACGGGGTCTCCAACGCAGAACAACAAGGGCCCCTCAGCCTTCTGAAGAAAGAACAACTCTTTTATCAACTATTTTATTCGGTTATTTATTCTTTTTTTTTTTTTCATTTATTGCACATTTTGATTGATTGATTAATTGATTGGTTGACTGTATTGATCTCAAAGTGGAGAAATTCTCTCAAAGGAGGAAAAAGGGTGAATGGGATATATATACAGTATACAGAGCGTCCAAAAATGACAGCTTTTCATTATACAGGATGTTTTAATGAGTATTTCTATAGATTATTTTTCTATATGTAGTTATTGCACTGGGTGTCAAATTTAGAGAAACAGGTTATTGCAGCAGTTATTGCGGTTGTAGTGTG